ACCTCAGCCTTCCAAGTGGAATTAAAAGGAAGGATCCCCATGCCGGGCAGTAGGCTTTTGTATAAAGGGAATAATAATATACCTGCCTTTCTTCTCCCCATTATTATTTACTGCTTCACATAGTTTTCTGTTGAGGGATATGAATTCAGTGGCTCTTTTAAAAAAGAAACTCCTTTGTCACATCAGGATATCCAGTGGTACTAAGATATCTTACATATAATTTCTTATCTTTTTTTTTTTTTTTTTGGGTCCAGTCGTGGGGCCTGAACTCTGGGCCTGGGCGCTGTCCCTCAGCTCTTCAGCTCAAGGCTAGCGCACTCTACCACTTGAGCCACAGCACCACTTCTGGCTTTTTTTCTTTTTGCTTATGTGGTGCTGGGGAATTGAACCCAGGGCCTCATGCATGCAAGGCAAGCGCTCTACCATTGAGCCACCTTCCCAACCCCGAATTTCTTATCTTAATCACTTTCGATTTCTTTACATAATTGTAGATGTTCTTCTACTAATGCTTGCTAAAACAGCACTTTTCCTTACCAGTGTTGGGTTGCCATCTAGGGGTGAAAGAGTGTACAACGACAGTATAGGGCAAAACTTTTTCTTAGTTGGAATCTTTACCTGCCTCAGAGAAGTTGAGGCTAAGGCAGGTGAAGGAACTTGCATAATACTTCATGTTGTATTAGTAGCTATATGGACAAGTTAAGTTTGACTTTCTGTGCTCTTTCCCCCACCCCACTCTCCTTGCCTCGGGGCTTGAACTCAGGGATTGGGCACTTCCCTGAGCTACTTTTTTTATTTTTGGGTCGGGTCATGGGGTCTGAACTCTGGGCCGGGGCGCTGTCTTTCAGCTCAAGGCTAGCGCTCTACCACTTGAGCCACATCCCTGAGCTACTTTTTGCTCAAGGCTAGTACTCTACTACTTGAGCCACAGCTCCACTTGCAGCTTTTTCTGTTTATGTGGTACAGAGGAATCAAACTTAGAGCTTCATGCACTCTACCACTAAGCCACATTTCCAACTCCACTTTCTGTGCTTTTCATTTTTGTTTGAATGTGGAGTTTTGAAAAAAGCCACATACATGAAAAATATTTAGGGAAAAATTGGGACTTAAGTAGTTTGAGTAACTGAAACAGCCTTTGAACACAATGTAGATACTTTAAAAATGCAACTGCTCCTTTTTTTTAAAAGGAAAATAAAATGTAGAAATCATTTCTTAGTCCAAAGATAACTTTCCTATCTTTTTTTTGGGTTTGGTCGTGGGGCCTGAACTCTGGGCCTGGGCGCTGTCCCTCAGCTCTTCAGCTCAAGGCTAGCACTCTACCACTTGAGCCACAGCGCCACTTCTGGCTTCTTTCTTTTTGCTTATGTGGTGCTGAGGAATAGAACTCAGGGCCTCATGCATGCAAGGCAAGCACTCTACCACCGAGCCACCTTCCCAGCCCCAAGTTTCCTATCTTCACCAAGTACTGTACGGTTATACAAAGCCACTATTTTGTCTCTTGATGACAGTCTATCACATGGAGTGCCTCTGAATGAAAGGACTGATTTTTTTCCCCCTAAAGTATGTATAATAAAAGAAATATATATATATATATATATTTACATAAGGATAATATAATGCAGTCCTAACTTGTTCTTCATATTGATCTCAGTACATGTAATTATAATATTTTTCCTAATTATAGTTTATTTTGTTATAGCTAACACATTGTTTTGTTACATACAAAAAAGTATAATTATACAAAGACTTCACTTTACAAATGTAAATACAGTCTTGGTTTGGTGTATATTGGATACAATGGTCTTCCTTGAGCCTAAACAGAGAAACAAAAGCTTGTATTATAAGAGAAAGTCCAAGATGGGAAGTGATAAAATGGGCATTGAGTAGAGCTTTGTTAAAATTTAGCGGGTATCCTTGTAAAATTTCCATGTATTCATTAAGTTATATTATGTCATTTTTATTATTAGGAGCTGAAGTTTGAGTTTTGCTCTCATAAGGAGTTGTGACAATTTCAATGTAGTTGGAAGAGTCAGATTTATTTAATTTCATATAAGTGTTACGATTTTTTTTTTTGTCGGTTGTGGGCCTGAACTCTCGGACTGGGCACTGTCCCTCAGCTCTTTAGCTCAAGGTTAGCCCTCTACTGCTTGAGCCATAGCGCCACTTATGGCTTTTTCTACTTATGTGGTGCTGAAGAATCAAACCCATGGCCTCATGCATGAACGGCAAGCATTCTACCAGTGAGCCACCTTCCCAGCCCATGTTAAGATTTTTATATGCATTTGGGAATAATTTTTTTGTTATGAAGGAGAGAACTGTATTATGGGTTATCTAGTTGGTGTAAAAGCTATACATCTGAAAATAATCAGAATGCTGGCTAGCAGTGGTGAAACAAACACCTTTTGCTTGTGTGGTCCTTAAATGTGGGTTTTTAAAAGTTAAAAAATAAAGATTATTGGCTTGTATACAGAGGGGGGATTTTGTTATTACATCTGTATCCATGTTTACCCTGCATTACAAGCTGACTTCTCCTATTATTCTCCTTTTCTCTCCATTCAAAAAAGCCTCCCAAAAGTTTCATTGTTCCTTTTTCATAGTTGCAATTTATTTCTTCATTATTCAACTCCTACCCTTCCTATCAGCCCAGCCCCCCTTCTGCTAGTACCCACCCACTGACAATTTTCTTTCTTCTTTTTTTTGGTTGGTAGTGGGACTTGAACTCTGAGCCTGGGCACTGTCCCTGTGCTCTTCAGCTCAAGGCGAGCAAGCTACCACTTGAGCCACAGTGCCACTTCCGGTTTTCTAGTGGTTTGTTGGAGATAAGAGTCTCATGGACTTTCCTGCTCTTTCCTGTCCAGGCTGGTTTTGAACCGTGATTCTCAGATCTCAGGCTCCTGAGTAGCTAGGATTATAAGTGTGAGCCACCAGAGTCCGGCCCCACTGACAGCTTTCTTCCCCCACCTTCCTTGGTTTTAAAAATCTTTAGTTTTGGCAAATGTTCTTACTTTTAACTAAAAGCCAGAACTACAAAATGAAGTGGCAGGATTTTTAACAATACAAGGTGTCCTGAGGTGTAACATAGTTTGAAGACTACAAAAATGCAAGTTACAAACTTAAAATACCATTAGAAGGGCTGGGAGGGTGGCTCAGTGGTAGAGCGCTTGCCTTGCATGCCTGAGGCCCTGGGTTCGATTCCTCAGCACCACATAACCAAAAAAAAAAAGCCGGAAGTGGCACTGTGGCTCAAGTGGTAGAGCACTAGCCTTGAGCTGAAGAGCTGAGGGACAGCGCCCAGGCCCCGAGTTCAGGCCCCA